GTAAAAGTGTCAGTGCACTATGCATTCAAAAATTACTAATAAAATAATATTATTAGAGCAATGTGCAAAATTGAAACAGTGTTTTGTGCTAAAATACTTAAAACCCCTTACTAAAGAAATAGGATATCACACTTGCTTCCAAAAATGTACGAGGACATGAAAAAATAAAAAATAAACATAGCATAATACTGTTATACAAGGCATAAAAAAAGACTATAAAAGATGGAATCAGACTCACAAGGAGAGAGCAGTAAGAAGTCTGCTCTCACTTTTTTAGCTTGTATCCACAAATGGGACTAGATGTAAACAAAGATTGAATGAAGAAAACGCTTTATTCCCAACAGAATTAAAAAAGTTCACAATATATGTGAGCGTATGCTCCCTTTTGACTTGAACATCTAAACTCTAATGTCCTCTACTTATTCATATTTAAACATCACCATATTAAGACCCAGATACGCAAGTGATATCACTCTATATAATGCACATGATCTAAATCTGTTCCCTAAACATGCTAACCTAAAGGGTTATAGGATAAGCCAAGCATTACACTACTACCCGCTAAGATATATAGGCATGTTGTCGTGTACCCATACTTCTCCCTCAACAATATATAACATAAAATGTGCACCTCTCCGCATGTCACACAATTGTTGTAATATGTCTGATGTTATGCATGCACCAGCTGTCGTGGCAGTGCAGGTTTGTGTATCTAATCTATGCACGAATAAAATAAAGAATATTAAAAAAAAAACACTTATGGCATGGTTTACTTGAATTTGGGTTCAGCCCAATGTAATTTATATTATATGACATTATATAAAGCACAAAAGCCTATCTGGGAAAACACATTACATTGTAAAGGGTTAGCTAGGTAGATCCTTACCTCTGAATTTCATTCTTTTGCTTCAAAAACTGCCAATTCTGCATTGACTAAGTAATCTTTAGTTTTTTTTCTCATTTGTTTTTTGTAAGTCTTTTTTTCTTTTGGCAAAAGAAAAATAAAACAAAAAAACAGGCTGGGCCACAATCAGAATGACACAAAGTACCCATGGCTGAACACTGGGTACACCAATGTAATTTGAGTAAGTGAAGGAGTGAGTAATTATGTGTCAGCGAATGTGAGTGTGTGTGAGTGTGTCAGTGTGTGTGTCAGTAAGTGTGTGTGTGTGTGTCTGTCAGGGAGTGTGTGTGAGTGATTGTGCGTATGTCAGTAAGTATGCATCTGTCAGTGAATGTGTGTCTGTCTGTCAGTGAATGTGTCTGTCTGTCAGTGTCTGAGTGATTGTGCGTGTCTGTCAACGAGTGTATGCATCTGTCAGTGTGTGCCTAAATGATTGTATGTGTGTCAGATTGTGTCAAATCAGTGAGTGTATGTGTATGTCAGTGTATCTGAGAGTGTGTGCTGGTCCGTGAGTGTGTGTGTGTTAGTCAAAATGTGTGTAAGTTAACAGGAAGAGGTATGGCCTTGGCAGGAAGGAGTGGGTACATTTAAATTAGGTGGTGTACAACAAGAGAGAAGACAAGTTAAAAAAGGCGCTCAATACACGTCTAAAATAATAACAACCATAAAACCTATAAAGCAGGTGGTACTATTAAATTAGGTGGTGCCCAAGATCTGTCATGCCCAGGTCAGCACCATTTCAAAATACACCACACCCCCTCTCTTTAACCCCTTAAGGACCAAACTTCTGGAATAAAAGGGAATCATGACATGTCACACATGTCATGTGTCCTTAAGGGGTTAAACCCCAATCTGTCCTGTGGGACTCAGAAAACGGATATAGTTTTACTTGTTACTGTAAGTAAGGGGCTGCAGGCACTATAACCAGTACATCAGGCTGTAGAGGTTAAGGAACTTAGAGTGGTCCTTACATAAAATATGGATATACTTGGTTAGATTGCTCAATATCTATATGTCAGACTACTTCCTAAAGAACATGTAAATGCCTCTCTTGTTTAGTTGTTTGCAGAGGTATCACTACCGAATAGTTGAGATCCTGAGACAGCAGTATTTGGACAAAAGGATTGTCATCTGGATTTTGTACTTAATGGCTGTATTGTCCTAATCAGCTCAGAAGAGGAACTTGGAGTTTTGCCCTGAAAGTCTTAAATCTTCTTTTGAAAGTATGCCACTTGGCATTGCTATTATAGAATGTCTAAGTCATACAATTATGAGCATTTACAATTTATTTTACAAGTAGACAATACAAAGATAGTTTATTTTAAACTGGAAATCAAATGTGTAAAAAAATAAAAATAATTCAAAGAAAAAAAACTAATAAAAAAACAAAAAAAACATGTAAGTGTGTGAATCTGATAGCACAAGGTGTGAATAAGGTAGCTTTGTCACTGCAGTAAGCAAATCCCTAGGAAATTGGAGGGAATCAATTATGAACAGAAATCTTCTATAAAGTAACATATTTGAAAATGAGAATTCTTAATGTAATATAAACTCCTCTAAATAATTAAGCCAAGTAAGCTAGCAGATTTTAATTGGGCCCCAGTCAGTTAAAGACCGGTTAGTACAATATTTATTTTAAAAGGAATGTTCAATATTGTAAGGAAACCAAGTACATTTAAACCTTAATCGGTAGTTTCCTCCCGAACCGCCAGAGCCCAGTGAATATAGCCCTCCATTCGGTAGTTATGGTAGACGAATCCCAATTGTAAATCCAATAGTGTCCCTGGATAATTCCCACAGTAAAACACACGAACTCCCAAACAGCATACGTAGTCAGAAGAAGGGTACAAAGATGAACTGAGGGTTTATTGACAGGCATGCTCTTTTTATGGAATTCTGCCCATGCAAGGGAGCCTCCCATATAATTAGCCATACATCCAATCCTAACAATATACATACTGTACATCTCCTCCCCTCAGATAACCAGTAAACATAATTAAAATGTAACAGAAATTCCCCAAAGTTTAGATGTACCCCAAGGACAGATAGCTATTGTCTGGGGGACCAACATATAAAAAAATCAGGTCATTCGGTTCAGCCATTCGGGAAATATTGGACTTAGAAGTTTTGACCGACTGCACGGGCAAAGTAGCCGAAAACAGTTCCATGAATTCTGGCCCTGCAGTCGGTCTTAGGTCGCATGAAAAACCTCCCGAACGGCCAGCCATTCAGCTACCATCCTTGGTTCGCTTGATTCCCCATTCGTTAGTAAGTCTTTCTACCGAACGCCCGGTCGTTCGGTAGTTTGGAAGGGGGTTTACCGAAGGGCTGGAGGCTTCAGCGGTGTTCGCCTGTTTGAGTGTCCGTTTTCAGTTCCAGACATTCAACGGCAAACACCGCTGTTCGGGAGCTAAAATGGCCGCGAACACGTGGAAGTCCCGAAATGGCGGCGAGACATGCCGTTCGTGCAGAACTTCTGTCGAACGTATTCCAGCCAGCAAGGGGGTACAGTCTGTATAAGGGGTAACAGGGTGGTCTGCATTCGGTAGTTTTACCTACCGAATGCCATAGGGAACATTGCTATTAAACAAAAGAAAACAAGGAGTCAATTTACAGTATAAGAGGGGCATTTCTTCACAAATATGTTATACTTTTATATAATTTGAATATAATTTATAACATATATTACTTCTGAACGAAATTCAAAAGGGTTTATTCACAAAACAATGGATTTTTATTAAATTGAAAACCAATTTTAGGTAAAATGTGTTGATTTGGAATACATTTCCCAACTCAGCCACAGTCACAGCTTGGAAATGATAGCCTAAGTTATTGGCATTACATTTCACTTTGTTTTGGGAATGGGTAGCTACTGATGGTGTGAATAAAATTATGTACACTTGTCTTCTCTTGAATTGCTACATCCAAAATGTTCTTGATGCATCAAAAAAATTTTTTAAAAAAATTGTCTTTTGGTTATAATGTGTTTTTCCAGATAGGAGAGTAGAAACTAAAATTAAAACAACCAGGAGTTTACAGGCAAAACTCTATAATATTATGCCTCTATAAAATGTATTATGTCTAAGAGCATATGGCAATTTTAATTCAACTGATGTTGCTCTTTGAAAGTCAAACATAAGGGGACACACTAGCAAGATATGCACAGAAGCATGCCTGTTTGGAAACAGGAATAAATCAGAAGATTTATGGACCAGGAAGTGACCATGTCCATACAGCAACCATTTTCCAATATAGAGGTCTACAGAGTTCTTTTTGTGAACTCCACGGTTAACTTGAATTCTGAACAAGTCAATTGTAGCTTATAGAATGTAGCCGCAAAATCTATAGTAGGGCCATCTTTGTTCTTACAAAAGAAAAAGTGCAAATTACAAGGTTATGGCCAGATTTATTAGAAATGAAATGACAGAAACCTGGCAAGGAACATAATGCAAATAAGAACAATACATAATGGCCAATGTGTCTCAGAACTGCACAAAGATCGGGAAAGAGAGGAGACAACACACTACACTAATTAATATGCTTCATTGTTTAAATTCACTCATGGGAGAACTTACCTCCCCTTACCTCATCCTTCTGTAAGTCTAGGCCTTTAGATTCAATGGCATGGGAATATGACCCAATAATAAATCATTAGTAATTAAGTAATGTATGTAAGGCTTTGCTTGATGCAGCCTTTCTGAATGACAAACATTTCTGATTACTAAGCGCAATTAAATCTTTGTGCAATGGGTATAAACATTGCACAGCAACTCTAACAATCTCTATTTTTTTTTGTGTGACCCTAGCTAATAATGAGATGCCATGTTTACAAAAGCAGAAATTTGGAGGGTATTTTTCCTTCTTTGATAAACTTGTGCTTTCATGCAAACAGTGATATATTTGTTGTCTGTACTTTCTGATGATGCCAATAGGCTGGCTGATTAGTTTATAACTAGGGCACATGGCATGCATTGCCCAGATATAAGTAGCCCTCACACTCTGTCCGTGAATTTAAATCTTGTGTATGTGAATATATATAGGGTCTTCTTTATTTTAACACAAATGCAATAGTCAATGTTTCAATTCAAATTGAAGTTCAATTCAACTTTCATCAGGATAATCCAAAAAATATATACACACGTGTGTATGTATTTGTGTTTGTATGTATATATTACTATATTATATATAATATACATACACACACACATGCGTACATATTTTTTGGATTATCCTGATGAAAGTTGAATTGAATTTCAATTTCAATTGAAACATTGACTATTCCATTTGTGTTAAAATAAATAGCACCATAAAACCTTAGAGTGCTAGCTCATGTTGGATTAATTATACACACACACACACACACACAGTACACACACAGACAGATGATTCTTAGAAGCATAATTTATTTAGCCCAAGAAGGCATCTAAATAATATCAATGTTTCAGTCTCCAAGTGAGACTTTTATCAAGACTTCCAATAAGTGAAAATGTGGGGTTAAAAAGATAATGACACAAGAAAAAAAGAGGGTGCCTTAAAAAAAAAAATATATATATAGACTGCATGATGACACAACTATGTCAAAGTGATAAATGAAATAGTAACCAAATGAAGACTAAATAAACAAATGTAAATTATAGGAATAAAATAAAATATGAACAAGGGGTGTGCAGCTACTACCAAAGCCCAGCTGATAATGTTAATTTTACAGAACACCATACCCTTTACTGGACAGAAAAAGTGTCAGGAAATCACAGAAGGGAATGTACCGAGAGATAATAAATATAAATACCTGGAGTCTCTTCAGGAAAAAGAAATGAATGTGATATCTATTAGGTTTTATATAAAACATATATAATAAAATATGTGAAATTATGTATTCAATTTGCACAAACCGCACAGGCAGAATGACACTGTAAATGCATTTATCAGGCAATTATATTTCTCAGGATGGGTGGACCAGGCAGAAGGAGTCAGCAGGAACCATACAGTAAAGAAGTAACATAGTGTGAACAATGGATAAAGTTTTGGACAGACCATTACAGCCATTTTTGTTATTGAAGAATACAAAGATCAATATTTTGCAATCCATTTGGAAAAACATAACCACAGCACAACAAAGAATATATTTCCACAAACAGGACTAAATATAGTTTGAGGGCCAGTCCATACAGTTAACCTTACATCATCTTTTTTTCCCCATTTTGGCTTCTGTGTGCAATGCTACAGAGGGCTTACCACCTCTTCAAAGTTCCTTATTGTGAACACCACTCCAAAGCAGATAGGAGTCCTGGCCAATCACAATGAATAGAGGACAGACAGCAAAATGCTACTGTTTTTGTCAGCAAGTCCTCCAACACATTCACACTTGCAAATATTAGTTACATCTTGTGGCAGCCACTCAGGTAGGGACAATTCTTGCCGCCAAGGAAATCCTTTCCCATTCCCAGTATCTCAGTCAGCACCGTCTTCAGTGATTATAGCAGTATAAAATTATAAAGCTCTTTCCCCCAGACATTAGCCAAGAATTTAATGCTGGGAGTAATCTGGTTTATTCAAGGCAAGGCACACTCCATTTATACACAGACCCCCAGCATGGGGTCTCCATACAAAGAAATACAAACCCATCCGAGGTGTCCCTGTGTCTGAGTCAACTTTCGGGATTTGATTTGCGCATGAAACCGAATGCTCTCCACTGGCTCTAAGGAGCGAATGTTACTCTTGTTCGCATGAGTCTTTTTCCCAAAAAGCACTCTCCTGGCTTATCTGGAAGGGAAACAGGCAGCGGTACAAATTCAGCGGTATTCGCGAGGTAGCATGTCCAATTTTAGTTCCATACAGTCGACATCCAAGTATCACTGCCTGTGTTCGTGAGACAAAAGGACCACCATTTCTCAAAACGTGCGTTCGGTCATACGAATGGCGGCCACCCAGAAGGGCACTTAAGTTAATGGGCTCTTTGCCATGAACCATGGGGTTGAATCAGACCACGGCTAACCCGACCGGTTACCTCCACTAATTCCCTTCCTTCAGCCACCCGGGAACCATTTAAGGTATATAGAGACCCATTTCCCTCCCCAGTAACTGGAGGTACAACACAATTTTATTGGTCTTACACGGCTTTTATCCATAACCCCATGCAGGGGGTCTGCCATACAATCATACAGGGTCACATCCCAAGATCCTCCCCTGGGGTCCCAGTGCAGGAAGGGACTGCTTTCCCTTTGTGCCCAAAGCCCGCCACTAAATCCACAGGGTCCCCCACACTAGCCACCATGGGTCTTCTTCCCAAGAGCCTCTGTGCCTGGGAGTCTAGGCGCGGGGAAAAGGGACCGTCCCTTTGTCTTCCAGGCACAAAAAAGTCCACCCACAGAAAAATAGCTGTTCTTTGTCCAAACTCGTCAGTGCCCTAGAAGAGCCCACACCAATTTCAGGGACCCTTGCCTTGGTCCCTCGATCAACTAGTCTCTGTTCACGAGGTCCTGGTGTGAAACCCAGACAAGGGAAGCGTCTCCTTTCGGGGGTAGGAATGCTCCCTCTGGCTGGTGTTCATCTATACGAATTGCAGCCACCCAGGGGAGCATAGGCGTGCGCAGCCTATTGCATTAGGGTGTGCACCCTAAAGCACAAACACACGCCGCGCGTGTGTGTGTGTATATATATATATATATATATATATATATATATACACATATATATATATATATATATATATATATATATATTCACGAACACACACACTCACTGACACACACTCACAGACACACACTGACACATACTCACAGACACACACACACACTGACACACACACACTCACTGACACACACTCACAGACACACACTGACACACTCACAGACACACACACACACACAAATTATTATATTTTAATTTTTTTTTTTAAATGTCCACCCAGCCTCCTACCTGGAGTGCTGGTGGACTTGTCCCTGGGGTCCAGTGGGGGCGGGCGCCTCTCTGCAGGTCAGCGCGCGGCGAGGGAGCTCTCTGCTCTCTGCTGTCTGCTCCCTCTCGCCGCGCGGGCTGTCTGCTGTAGCAGGGAGCCGGAATATGACGTCATATTCCGGCTCCCGGCATCAGCGCGCGGCGAGAGGGAGCAGAGAGAGACAGCAGAGAGCTCCCTCGCCGCGCGCTGAGTGGGGGGGAATCATCACCTCTTGCCCTCCCCATGACAGGGGCAAGAGGTGAAACAGGGGGCACTGAGTGCCTGCAGGAACAGCGTTCCTGCTCAAAAGAGTGCAGGAACGCTGTTCCTGCAGGACTCAAACCATAGGGGTGCGCACGGGGATTAGGGTGTGCCCAGGCACACCCGGCACACCCCGTGCGCACGCCTATGCAGGGGAGCACTCATTAAAGGACCACTATAGGCACCCAGACCACTTCAGCTTAAGTGGTCTGGTTGACAGTTCCATCTAGGATTAATCCTTTCTGCTGTAAACATAGCAGTTTCAGAGAAACTGCTATGTTTACCTATGGGTTAATCCAGCCTCTAGCGGCTGTCTCATTGACAGCCGCTAGAGGCATTTCCGCGCTTCTCACTGTGATTTTCACAGTGAGAAGATGCCAGCATCTATAGGAAAGCATTGAGAATGCTTTCCTATGGACTGGCTGAATGCGCGCAGCTGTTGCCACGCATACAGCCGATGGCGGTGAAATGGAGGAGAGTTCCCCACACCGAGGGAGCCCAGCGGGGAAAGACAGCTAAGATTTAACCCCTTCCACCCCCTAGAGCCCAGCGGGAGGGGAGCCCTAAGGGTGGGGGGGACCTAGAGACCCTATAGTGCCAGAAAAATGAGTATGTTGGTGTGAACGTTCTAAGGGGCACCGGGGAGGTCCTCTTTCGATCACAAACTAAAGGGGAAAAATCCATGAATGCTCCCCCTGGTGGCGTTCGTTTGTACAAATGGTGGCCAACCAGGGAAGCACTCAATTGTGTCCCTTGCGGTTTGCGGTTTTGACACTTATGTTGCGAGGTGTGAACATTCTAACCTAACATTCTAAATGAGTTATTGGGGCGGTTCCAGTTCGGGAGGTGAATTAATTCCCTTTGTGGAAGCACTCCCGAACAGGGAGCGGGCACCATAAACCAAAATACAGGGGAAACAAATGTAAAAAAGAAGGGAGTTTCACGAACAGGCAGCGGTTCCAACACAGGGGTAGTTTGGGTTTTGAGGTATAAGAGGGGAAATTGGGTCTTCATTCTGTAACCAGAGGTATAAATGAAATGAAAGTCAAATAAGTGATGGGGTGTTCTGTCATACATCTCATCTCAGAATAGCCAACCTACAGAAAGTGGGGGTGCAGTTGCTGGTTCTCTGCCTGGACCAAAGAGTGATGTCCCCCGATACCTTCCAATAGTTCATGGTTATATATATGTCAGAATGCTCCTCTGTTTTGTTTTTTTAGTTTGTTGAGCCAGCCTGTAAAAGCTAGAAAATGATGGCATAAAATATTTTTCATTAGTACATAAGTTAAGGAGTCTGTTGAAGGTTGATACCTGACTGTTATCAGTTCAGCTGCAGGGATGAGGTATGGACTTGCTAGACAACTTCAGTGTCAGGGTTTGGTAGATTTGGAAGACAGACAAAAGGGATTTTTTTATTGTTGAATGAGCAAAGACCAAAGGCCATAGACAACTTAAAAAAAAAACAACAAAAAAAACTCTACCTTTTTCCACGATGTCTCCCAAAACAGTGGCACTAGAGTCTCATACTAGAGACAAAAATGAGGGATGCAAAAGAAAAAAAATATATAGAACTACAGCTTTAAAATCACTTTTACTAATAGTGAAAATGTACTCATAAAAACAAACCCTATTGATAGAAAGTGAAGCATCTATGTCAGATAAGGACTGGAACCAGGGAGGACTCATTCAGTGTTAAATCATTTCAAAAGGATGAAAGCTCCGGGAGACTGTAGGCTATACTATACCACTTCAATGAAATTAAGTGTTTATGGTACCTAGATTGTCCTGGTAATTTTTTCAGCTTCTATAGCTCCATGGTTTTCAGGCAATGCAGGGGTAAGCTTCTAAAGACAACTTTTTTTGGTTTAGAATTAACACAGTCTGTGTAAGCATTTTATTATCTGATCATACCACACAGAAAGCTAGAACTAATGGACTTACATGGTGCAGACGTACACAGTGTTGCCAAAACAACTTCTCATCCTGTACATAGCAAATCAATCAAGACATGCCATTTATACACTTAATATTCTATGGTGTTCTTTTCATCTT